TCTAAATGAAGCAATTTATAAAAATGAAGCCCACTATGAGCCTGCCCCTGTAACAGTGACATCCAAAAAGGAATCTGTCGTTCTCCTCCGCCATCCAAGCACCTGATTGGTGGAGCCTCTTCCTGGTTTGAGAGATTACTCCCAGCCGCAACACTTGTCAACTGCTTGCAAATTATTTGTATTTATTTCTTTTTCCCGCATGTCTTTATAAATGATGTAAATAAAGCATCAGAAAAATGGGGTCAGCTCCTGCCTATTGCGTCTCCCTGAGGGTTTGTTATATCAGAAAGGAAAGGCTGTGTTCTCTCCCTACCTATAGCAGCACCCCTGCTTGTACCTGTGCCATGCGGTCAGAGCAAGCCCTGTAACTTAATCTGGCTGCAATCTTGAAGCAATTAAATCCCTCTCTAATCTTTAGTCACCAAGCAGGGGGTCCCCGGGGGGGAATCTCATTTTAAAGGGCTCCGCCATCTCTTTTTCTTTTGATTAAGAGTGAGAGGCGCTTAGTGCCACATCCAAGTCACAGGACGAGGCATTGCCTAGTGCCCTCTCTAAGCATCTTCATTAACTCCTTATTTCACTGCTAATTATCTGCCGGGGAAGGTGGCCTCGTCTGATAGGCAGGCTGTGACCTTGAGATGAGTGCTTAATATCATGCAAATGACCCGTAATTGGTGCCTCGGGGAGTAAACTAAACACCTGGACCAAGTGCATTTTGTTTTATTTTCATTTCAACTGGATATCGCTTTATATTACTGCTTTGGTGGAAAATCAAACTGTGGTAGTTACATGAAGGGTTAATTCCTTCATTCATCGGTGATCCAACCGTTTGCTTTGCTTGATCCAGTAGTAATGAATGAGGAGTACAACCATGTACATAAAACGTACTTTATTAATAGGGGAGACCAAAACGCCTTAGCATTAATAGAGCTGTAGATATACGATAGATATAAACAATGCATGAAAACCATGCACACTCAATCATTTCAGATACAGAGTCTAACAGATACCAACCATTAATATGAGAAATCAGAATCATGAGAAATTAAATCTTCAAGCCCACCACGTTATCTCTCTATCACTATGGTATAGTCAAGCATCACTATGGTATAGTCTGAAAACTATGGTATAGTCACTATCACTATGGTATAGTCTCTATCACTATAGGGTATAGTCTCTATCACTATGGTATAGTCTTTATTACTATGGTATAGTCTCTATCACTATGGTATAGTCACTATCACTATGGTATAGTCTCTATCACTATGGTATAGTCACTATCACTATGGTATAGTCTCTATCACTATGGTATAGTCACTATCACTATGGTATAGTCTCTATCACTATGGTATATTCACTATCACTATGGTATAGTCTCTATCACTATGGTATAGTCACTATTATAGTCTATCACTATGGTATAGTCACTATCACTATGGTATAGTCTCTATCACTTCTACTATGGTATAGTCTCTATCACTATGGTATAGTCACTATCACTATGGTATAGTCTCTATCACTATGGTATAGTCACTATCACTATGGTATAGTCTCTATCACTATGGTATAGTCACTATCACTATGGTATAGTCTCTATCACTATGTGTCTATCACCATGGTATAGTCTCTATCACTATGTCTCTATCACTATGGTATAGTCTCTATCACTATGGTATAGCCTCTATCACTATGTGTCTATCACCATGGTATAGTCTCTATCACTATGTCTCTATCACTATGGTATAGTCTCTGTCACTATGGTATAGTCTCTATCACTATGTCTCTATCACTATGGTATAGTCACTATCACTATGGTATAGTCACTATCACTATGGTATAGTCTCTATCACTATGTCTCTATCACTATGGTATAGTCTCTATCACTATGGTATAGTCTCTATCACTATGTCTCTATCACAATGGTATAGTCACTATCACTATGGTCTAGTCTCTATCACTATGGTATAGTCTCTATCACTGTGGTATAGTCACTATCACTATGGTATAGTCACTGTCACTATGGTATAGTCACTATCACTGTGGTATAATCACTATTACTATGGTATAGTCACTGTCACTATGGTATAGTCTCTATCACTATGGTATAGTCACTGTCACTATGGTATAGTCACTATCACTGTGGTATAGTCTCTATCACTATGGTATAGTCTCTATCACTGTGGTATAGTCACTATTACTATGGTATAGTCACTATCACTATAGTATAGTCTCTATCACTATGGTATAGTCACTATCACTGTGGTATAGTCTCTATCACTATGGTATAGTCTCTATCACTGTGGTATAGTCACTATTACTATGGTATAGTCACTATCACTATGGTATAGTCACTGTCACTATGGTATAGTCTCTATCACTGTGGTATAGTCACTATTAATATGGTATAGTCACTATCACTATGGTATAGTCACTGTCACTATGGTATAGTCTCTATCACTATGGTATAGTCACTGTCACTATGGTATAGTCACTATCACTGTGGTATAGTCTCTATCACTATGGTATAGTCTCTATCACTATGGTATAGTCACTATTACTATGGTATAGTCTCTATCACTATGGTATAGTCTCTATCACTATGTCTCTATCACTATGGTATAGTCTCTATCACTATGGTATAGTCATTATCACTATGGAATAGTCTCTATCACTATGGTATAGTCACTATCACTATGGTATAGTCTCTATCACTATGTCTCTATCACTATGGTATAGTCACTATCACTATGGAATAGTCTCTATCACTATGGTATAGTCTCTATCACTATGTCTCTATCACTATGGTATAGTCACTATCACTATGGTATAGTCACTATCACTATGGTATAGTCTCTATCACTGTGGTATAGTCACTATCACTATGTCTCTATCACTATGGTATAGTCTCTATCACTATGGTATAGTCACTATCACTATGGTATAGTCTCTATCACTATGTCTCTATCACTATGGTATAGTCTCTATCACTATGGTATAGTCCAGTGCCAGGGCACTCCTAGTACCATAAACACTACAGAACACTATACCTGTTACTGTTCCTAAAGTTTGCCATTAACAATATACAGATTCCTTCCATTCTAATATCTGACTTTTCCATTCAAATCCATTCACATAGCATTTGTCTATTTTTTTTAAATATAACATATATTTTTTATTTATTGTAACATACATGTCTCATGGTCATATACCGTCCTATTGTACTCAAAATGAAATTGGACAAAGAGGGTCACTAACAGACAGACGGTCCGCGTGCCTCTTACAGATATCGTATTGTCCCTTTTACTAACTTCAATATATAATAAATACAGAAATTGCCATTCTGTGAATCACCCCGGTATTTTAGCACAGTCCTCATTCCCTAGGTAAATCCAATGCGCTCCTTGCTGTAATAACATGCAGAGCTAACGCAAAAACAGAAAACATTAAAGCAAATAATGAATCTACAATGTGCGGCCGACCAGGCAGAGAGCAGCCATGCTTAATGCATGGAATCTAAGGAGCTGATTGAGTGATTTAATGACCCTATTATTTCGCTTTGCATGGGATGGGATAACTGGCTGTGGGTCAGGAGATAATCCTTCATTTTTTTCAGCATAATAGATTGGAGAGTGTAAACATGGCCACGTCTAAACTAGCTCCATAAAGTCAACAGCGCATTGCAGGCTGCCTTGGGAAGAGATGGGGGGGGATAGAAGGCCGTGTATGCGCGATGCCTCCTTCCCTGATCACAAACTCCAGTGGAAGTCTTGGGAAATATTGTGCCAGTTAATTCACCTCACTGCGAATGGCGGCCCAGCAGGAGAAAAGAAACGCTGAGTTTAGGTCAGGATAGCAAAACTAGTCAAATACTAGAGATGACTTGGAGAATCTTTCTCTAATTTAACAATTTGACCGTAAAATGTGCAATTCTTTAATGTAAGTGCTAGAATGGTCAGTAATGAATTGAATGAGACAGAAACGGTGGGAATGCCATTTGTTACTCAATTTAAAAGATGGAAAGCACCTCTTTAATCTATCCTCATTCTCATAACTCCCTATTGAGTAAGAGCACATGTATTCTTCTAAGAATAAGGGCAGCGTTTTAATAAAGGGGTAGGCAATTATTAATATTTCGGATTTTCTCTGCCGCAGTATGAGCCAACACCTCGTCTCTCTTTGCACATATCATAGAAAGTCATTTAGTAGCCAGCATTCTTTCCCAGGACCAATTTGCACCTCTTTGTAATGATTGAAGGTTTTCACGTTATCAGAGGCTGACAGAATATTACTGGTATATTATATCAGCAAAGAGCAATCGGTTTCAACAGCTATTTATAAGGGCGGCTCCTGAAACAGTTCAATTCTAGAATGTAGTGTTTGCAATGTTGTCCTCTGGTTGGTCACTCGGCGCGCCTTGCAATCCCAGCCCTGTGACAAGTTACAGAGTAAAATTCATCTCTCGGCTTTGACAGAGTTTGACAGGTGAGAGACACCATGTTTGCGTTAACCCTCTCTGGCACTTCTAGAATTTCACCGCATTTTTATTGCAGTTTCTGTGGCTAAACAGGAATAAATGTATATTCATTAGACCTGTCCATTAAATTGACCTGCTTGTATATAGATATAATCCGGGTACGAGAAAGGTGGGGCCATGCATGACACCTCTACCTGAAAATAACATGTACAATGCATCATGGGAGTCCCATATATCCTCTACAGTACAGTATATATTACTTCATATGGTACACCATATATATTACCACACACAGCCACCCTGGAGTACCGATAGTACAATTTTAGAGATACTCCACTGCCCAAATAAAATTGTAAAAAACCAACACTATTTAGTAGATAGAACCCCAATTGAAATGTGCGTGCATTGGGGGGGCGTGGCTAGACACGGAGAAAGATGGCCGCATGAGTCCTTAGCTCTGCACCACAAGCTAGGCAATATCATTCAATTGTGAGATTCCTGCAGGAAACAAAAATTTATTCCGGAGATGTTGCAACCCAAAACCCGTCGGCACCAAGACAAGCCTGACAAACTGAACTTCTTCGCCCAAAAAAAGGTTGCGGCCCTGGCAAGACAAACTGCCACAGCGGACCCTCAAGATGGCGCCGAACGCGACCTGCAAGATGTCGGATCTCGCACAACGCATGTGGAGGCCAAGATGGAAGACCTAGTCGATGCACACAATGCGTCCGCAGAGCAACTAAAATCCCTTCAAAAATGTGAGGCAAAGCTCATGGACCTTGAAGATCGATCCAGAAGGAGCAACATCAGGATGAGGGGCATATCAGAGACGGTTCTCCCGGCGGACCTCCCCAGCCATGTACAAAGCTTTTTCAAACTCCTAACCCCCGAGATCCCTACAGACATGCTGCTGCTAGACCGTCTGCACAGGATCCCGAAACCCCAACATATAGCTGCATCCTTACCTAGAGATGTGTTACTGAAAGCACACTACTTCCATGTAAAAGATCTCCTGATGAGAAGAAGCAGAACAGCGAAAGACCTTCCAGCTGAATACACCGGCATCAAGATGTTCTCAGATCTCTCGGCAGCCACCCTGAGACAACGGAAAACCTTCCAGCAAGTGACAGAGACTTTCCGCGCCAACCGCATCCTATACCGCTGGGGCTTCCCTGTCCGCCTGATTGTTTCCAGAAATGGAACCACCACCGTCATACACACGGTAGAAGACGGTCTGAACCTCCTACACCAGTGGAACCTGACCAGCGTGGGTGAAACACAAGCCCTGAAACTGGCACGTTGCCGACTGATGATCCACCGCAAGTATTCCCGCTCCGGCGGTAAAATACCCCTACTGCTCTAATACTTAATTATTGACTCCCAACCACTACTATCTCTAAGGCCAAATTGCATTAGCCTGATAGGCGCCTGCGGACCTAGCATTACCACAGTTTGCAGTACGCAAATAGTTATTAACTATCACGTTGCATTTATATTTGTCCATAATGTTTGCAGGGTGTACTAGCAATATTGTGACATAATTTGCCTAATTGTTTAACTGTTGTTGACCCATACTGTTTACTAGAAGCATACGCAGTACCTTGCCACACTTTATTGGACTGAAGCCACAAATTGACTAACGTGTGCCCACGACAACTGATGCATGAGTGGCACCATACACTACCCACACTGACCGACTTACATGGGTGACCGCGGTCCACCCATGTCGTCCGTCAGGCATATTCACAAGGCCACATCTCGGGCTCCATCTAAACTGGTACACCCGGCTAGACCGCAAGTATGATAGTCGTAGAGGTACTGCTAACCCAGGATTTGGCCATTTACACTTGCTGGATTTATGTTGTCCTATAACGGGAATTACACACCACCTAAACCCTTGCTACCACTACTCCAGAACCCAAGTGGAAGCTGGGGTTGAGGCCCCATGGCACAAGCCAGAGTTACCGAGCATAATATGGCAGAAACCTTCCTTACAGAACCAGTTTGTGGTCACACACGCAGAGCTGGGAGACCCCGATGCAAAACATAAACAGGTTACCAACTCCCACCCCTCTCTTCAACTGAGGTCCCATAAGGACATCTCACTACATTTAAACAATGGTGCTCTTCATTTGTACTGCGAATCACACTCAGAGAACACACAAGACCTTGCTTTGTTTATTGCTGTTATTTAATAGTGCATGTTGCACCACATACCTTTCGCCTGCTCAGGCCACCGCCTGTCCACCATCTCCGATCCCACGCTCCCCACGGCGTTGCGCCACAGCGCCTTGCACCGAGATCGGGCTTATATGTACATACTTTTGTTAAACAAGTTTATTTCTTTTCACCCCTGTTCCACCCCCCCCAGTTACAACCACAACCCCCTCATCCCGTCCAAAAACCCAGACAAAGAACATCTCAAAAAACGGCACCCACATGCCCTCTCTTCATAATCAATGGTATAAACCCACTTTTAATGAAAGCAGTCTGCCCTATAACATACACTGATAGCCTACTCACATGTTACTTCAGGAGGCTCGCAAATCAAGGGCAGACATATTATGCCTTCAAGAAACCCATTTCCCCAAAGCCAAAATCCCCCAATTCGGAATGAAGCACTTCCCTCATCAGTTCCACACAGCACATATTTCTAAATCCAGAAGAGTTTCCATTTACATACATAGCTCAGTATCCTTTGAACTACTACGCACCATCTCGGACGACCAGGGCAGGTACCTGATTGTTGTCTGTCTGATGAATAACATACAATATACTGTTGTGAATCTATATGCGCCCAATGAAAACCAGAGGAACTTTCTGACCAGTATCCTCACAAAGGTGGCAGCTGCGCAGTGAGGCAATACGATAATTTGTGGGGATATAAATCACGTCTTTGACCCAACCCTAGATACCTCCATGCCCCCCACTACCAACCGACAGAAATCCCTCAAACCAACTTGCAAAGCCTTTGTGGCAAACATAGCCACTTAGACTATATCAAGAGACTGTACCTTTAAGGGTTGCCTGTATGTCGGTGGGGATATGTGTTCAACTATGTATATTGTATGCTGGCTGTAATACCTTGAATTGCCTGTAATTGCTCTCTGCCGAATGCAGATAGCTATTTGTATGGGGTTTTCCTTTCGTTTCACGAACGGCACTTTGACGGGCCGTTCGTGAACCGAAAACACTACCCCTAATAGCCCACACACTTAGAGGCGTGTGGCGCTTGTTAACCGATTGCAACAATGTTGCAATCGGTAATTAGAGGCTCTCCTGGGTGGCTGTCGTTCGACTACCGACCATGCGGCGGTCGGCCATCTTGGATCCTTTGTTCCCTCAGCGGTGTTAGGTCGTCGAGCGCATGGTACTAAAAACGGCTACTCGACGGCACGAACACCGCTGAGCCTCCAGGACGTTCGGGAGTTCTGGGCCGTTCGGTATTTCATTCCCTGGAAGGCAATCGGTCTTTTGAATATGTTTCTTAATGAATGTGTTTTTCATGCGGCGTTCAGTTATTTTAGCTGGGATCTGAGCGGTAATCTCACGAATGATGCGCTCAGACCCCAGCTATCTACCGAACGTCCATTCGTGCAAATATACTGTATAATCGAAAAGTTACAGATTTTTATATAAATTGTCGGTTCTGCTGCACGGAGGGATAATCCACTTAACAGTATATTCTAGGAGGAGGATCCCTCTCGTGCAGCAGTGCCTGATGGGAGAAATGCTTTGTACTGTAAGTTCCCCATGTAGTCCCCTCTGGGAATGCCCCTGGGAAGGGACTCAGGAATTAAAGGACTTCAGGTGACTCTCAGAACTGTGTTTCGTCCAGTTACTGGGAGGTTGGGGATATTGCCTTGTTGTTTCAGCGCTTGACTGTGGATCACTTCCTGCGGAATTCCAATCCAACGGAATTCGTGGATTTAATATTGGCGTTCCGCTACAGCCTTAACACAACTGTTGATGAAATTCAACCTCTATGACTGCTGGAGAACACTCCACCCCTTAGACAGAGACTATTCATATTATTCTAAACCCCACAAGATAGATGTAATACTCATAACAGGACCTTCTCTTAATCTGCTTCAAACATGCCACATGGGCGACATCATCTGGTCAGACCACGCCCCAGTGCTTGCCACGTTCAGAGATGAATTCACCTTTAGAGGTTGTAACCCATGGAGACTTAATAGCTCCATTTTACAGGACGATAAATTTAGCTCAGAAATAGAAACAGAACTCAAGCACTACTTCTCTCATAATGAAACATCAGGGACGTCCCCGACACTGATATGGAGAGCCCATAAGCTCGGGTTGTTTATACGACGGTCCTCCTTCTTAAAAAAGACCTCCCTGACGAAATACCTGAACTTACTGAGGAAATTGAGAGATGCAACAGCCTCCCATCTACTCAACCCAAACCCAGAAGACCCTGCAATTATTACCCAAACACAATCAGAGCTCAGCGACATAAACATAGCCAACACAACCCGTACACTCCAAAAACTGAAAACCAGGGAGTACTGTATGGGTAACAAAGCCAGCTCAATCCTGGCCAACCGACGCGCAGGCACAAACCAAAATAGCATACCTTAACTCACAAGACGGGAAAAAGATAATTATACCCCAACAGATCAGCGAACTTTTCGCTGATTTTTACAGCAAACTCTATAATTTAAAAGACGACCCTACAGCACACCAGCCCAGTGAAGAGGAAATAACCAATTTCCTGGACAAAGTTCATCTACCTGCACTCTCAGTTTCGCAACAGGAGTCTCTTGCAGGGCCCATTTCACAAACGGAAGTACTCACAGTTATACAGAACCTCCCGTTAAACAAGACCCCAGGCCCAGATGGACTGCCAAACCTATACTACAAGAGGTTCTCCTCCATCCTCACCCCCCGACTAGTATCACTTTTCACTTTCACCACGGCACAAAAAAACATACCGCTGGACATGCTCACGGCCAACGTGGCCACTTTACCCAAATCTGGTAAACCACCAACCCATTGCGCAAATTTTAGACCGATTTCCCTACTAAATTCAGATGTGAAGATCCTGGCTAAAGTTTATGTCAACAGACTGACTACAATCCTGCCGACTATTGTGCACTCTGACCAAGTCGGCTTTGTGTGTGGCAGGCAGGGAGCGGATGGTACACAAAAAGCCCTTGCATTACTACACACCATGCATAGACGCTTCCCCAACAGCCTCCTACTATCCTTAGACGCTGAAAAAGCTTTCGACCGCCTGCACTGGTCATTCCTGCAGGCGGTCCTAGTTAAATTTTGCTTCCCTTCACAACAAATCACTATACAGTAACCCCGAAGCCCGGGTTCTTCACGTCCGGATTCCAATCAAGGTCCTTTCCTATTACTAATGGCACCCGACAGGGGTGCCCCCTCTCACACCTCTTATACATTATGGCTTTAGAACCCTTAGCTGAGACCATCCGCTCATCGACAGAGATCACGGGAATCAAAGTTGGGGGGACAGAATATAAATTAAACCTTTTCACCAATGATGTCCTCCTAACCATAACTGACCCACACAAATCCTTACCAGCATTCCACAACATTCTGCAGCAATATCGTACTATAAGCTAAATCTATCTAAAACACAGGCCATGGGGGTGGGGATGGAGGATGACTATCTATCCAACCTGAGAAGCCAGTTCTCTTATGACTGGAGAAAGGACTACCTCACGTTCCTGGGGATAAAACTCCCACACACTATGTCCGACTTGTACCATTTAAACTATGTTAAACTTAGCAAAGACATTACCAACACCCTCCTACATTGGAGGAATAAATTTATATCCTGGTCTGGCTGAATAGCAGCAGTAAAGATGGTGATACTACCCAAATTACAATATCTATTTAGGACACTCACATTGACAGTGCCGCCTGCTTACTTTCTATCCCTCCAGAAACAAATTAATGTATTCATATGGCATGGAAAACGACCGAGAGTCGCTTTATCCACACTGCACCGACCAGTGCAGATGGGTGGCATGAGCCTCCCCAACGTGCAACTATACTACAAAGCAGCAGTCTTAGCCAGTCTCTTCCCTATTAACCAACACACGTATCCCCCCCAGTGGGTCTCTATAGAACAACACTGGTTGCAAACCCAAGACATCAAAACAAAAGTATGGATGCTACCCCATCAAAGGGGAAACACCACAAATGCACTTCCCGCCACCTTAACGACACTAAAAATCTGGGATGCCACCCGCAAACTCCTGTGCAGCTGCCACCCGACCCCCTTCTCAACCCCAATTAAGACCCTGGCACAAATGATACCTGACTTCAACTACAGAACATGGAACAGATGCGGGGTGTTCTATATACATTCCCTATTAGAAAAAGGCAAACTAGCCACATTTGACCAACTGAGAACTAATTACATATTGCCAAACACGACATACCACTTGTAACGGACCGTTTCAGCACACAAGGGGTTAAAAGCGTTTAGGCGATATTCCCCTTTTCAGATGCACAGGCACAGCTCCTGCAGAACACCAATCCGCCGAAAAGGAAACCATACGAATGCTGTAAACAGCCGAATAGGAAAAACCATACGAATAGGTTTACACTCCTAGCAGTCAAACTGGAACAGCATACAGTAAATCCCCCCAAGAACGAGACAAAGCTCTGTGTTGAGGGTCAAGCAGTGAACAGACAGAGCTGTGGGTTTATTGTCCTTATGTACACATTCTTACACATTAGTACCACCCACAGGGTTTTGGAACACAACCAATAAACACATACAATACATTCAGACACTCCCACACAAAATCCTCCCCTCTGCCTGTGATACAATTAACTTACACAATGGGTAATTTAATTAGCACAAGCAGAGAAATAAATTTTTTCCACATTATTCATAACTTGAAAAGTATGCATCACATTCACATAAAATTACATTTTCAGAATCAGCATACTCCAAATACAAACATACGTCAAAATCATACAAATTGGTCCAGTGGTTCAAAAGATAGATCGTAGTCCTTTGTGACCACAGGAAGCATGGCTTTTCTGCCCAAAACCAGTTCCACAGAGTCTTCTATCCTGGAG